TCAGCAGCCAGCGCCAGCCTGGTAGCACAGTTGGCTCTGGCTGGCTTCAGGAGCAGCTTGCTACCATGGCGCCCACCATTTTGCCTTCCCTGAAGTCCCCTTATGATGTGTCTTCTGCCATTGAACCAATCACGCAACATTCATTCCCTACTAATAAATCTACAACACTTAAAATATAAATCTGTGGACATTAAATAAATTCCAGGGGCATTCCGGGGGACAGATTTTGTCTGGGGACAGATTTTGTCCGGGGACAGGAAACGGGGACGTCTGGTAACCATAGTGTAAATAGGCAAATAAACCCTATTTCTCAAAACATGAGAGTCTCCACACTGTCTTCTATCCTACAAAGGGACACAGGTGTCGGGCATTTGTAACAACGTTAATATCTTTTAGACCCTTTGTTACTCGTGTAGTTTTCTGTTGCTGGCTTTACATTTTATTAATTTTATTTATTCCATTTATGACTCATTTTCAGAAGAATCATAGAACTGTAAAGTTGGAAAGGACCACAAGGGTCATCTAGTCCAACCCCCTGCAATGCAGGAATCTCAACTAATTCTTTTGCCCAACATGGGGCTCAGTAAAGCATTACAAAGTGATTTAGCAATAAAAACATCAACAATAAAACCATATATATGATATACAGACTGCGACTTAAAAAAAAACACTTGACTTAAATGGCTTGTTGAAAAAGAAAGGACATCACTGAAAGGGAAACAGTGAAGTCACCGGTCTGATCTGTAATGAGAGGAAGCTCCAAAGGAAGTAAAAGACCAAATCCTACAGTTATAGTGTAACACACACAAACCCATAATCCTAAAATGCAGCACAGTAGAGAAAATTTAAAAATAATAGTAGTAGTAATAATAATAATCATATGGACCAGACATCCTGATGAGAAGGTATCTGCAGGAGATTCTTTCCTGCGGAGTTCAGTAATCAGCTGGATATAAGGCAGGGATGGGGAACATCTTTGGCGTGGTGGGACAGATTTTTTTATCTCTCCCCACCCCCATGGGCCAACTTCAACCAATGAGTGAGCAGGACCACCAACCAGTCAATCATCTGGGGTCATGTTGCTGTCAGGTGTATAAACAGTTCTGCCTACCTGTCAAAGCTGACTCATGGGAGTGGAGGGATCCTTTCTGCCAGAATGTTTCCCCACATTGGAGGCGCTGGTGAAGCTGTTCTCAGCAGGATTGTTCCCTCCACTCACCAGCTGATGAGCCAAGCATTCAGTCCTGCTGGCTGCAAAGGACAAGATGATCCTCCAGACACTGGCAGAGGAAGGCGGGTGCTGGAGGTGCGGTGCGCACCGGGTGTCAGCCGTGAGGGTGGGTGACATCACTGCGCCACCCCCATTTGCTGCAGGGCGGCGCCCCTGGACTCTTGCCATATGGGCTGCAGGCCACCAGGGATGATGATGCCGTGGGCGGCTAGTGGCACCCCTCCTGATGCTTGCCGTGTGGGCAGCAGGCGACTAGGGATGCTCACCACACAGACGGCTAGCAGTGCCCCTCACATACACTCATTGTGTGGGCGGTGGGCCCCTAAGGATGCTTGCTGTGTGGGCGGCTAGCCCCACCCCTGCACCACTCCAGGTGCCAGGGCAGGTAGCTCCGTCCCTGCCTCCAGATTCTGACAGGACTGGCAATTAAACCTTACTTCAAAACTAGTGAAGGGGCAGCATCCTTCATCATGCCCAAGGACAGCTGTCTAGGTTTGGAAGTGCAGAGAAGTCTCAGTTAGGGGACTCAGGAAGAATAGTGATGACTATTGTCCATTTGGACTGGCAGGGGTTGCTGGGAATCATTGGGGGGGGGACAGTCCTACCATAAGGCAGAGTGAGAATGAGGCAGGTGTCTCAAGCAGCCGCTTCTAAGGGGCAGTGCCCCCTAAGCTAGCCTTCTGTCCACCAGTGAGTGGACTGCTGGAATCATGTTGTGGTTTGGGCGCTCCTCATGGACATCAGATTGGCCACTCTGAGAACACAATGCCAGTCCAGATTGGTTTCTGGTCTGATCCAGCTGCATTCTTCTTATGTCACTTTCCCAACAACATGTGTTTCTTTGCAGTGCTTTTTTTATATAGAAAAAAGGTACCGGTACTCACCATAAAGTTGTTACAGTAAGTGCCATGTGCTTTTCCCCGGGGGTACTCAAGGGTGCCGGATTTTTTTTTTCCCTAGAAGAAAAGCCCTGAGTGCCACAATTTTAACATTGCGGGTTGGAGGGGGAAGGTGCTGGTACTGCATAGCCTTGAGTACCCCCAGAAAAAAAACAGAGTTTCTTTGAGCTGCAGTTATGAGGCACTGGGCCTGCCTGCTGAGATTGATGGCTCTACTAGATCACGGAGGGTCTGTAGCTCTGTGTAGAATATCTGCTTTGCATGCAGAAGGTGCCAGGTTCAAACCCCAGCATTTCCAGGTAGCACTGAGACTGACTCCTGTTTGAGGCTCTTGAGATCTGGTGCTGGTCAGTATAGAAATACCAGGCTAGATGAACCAATGGCTTCCAAGGTTCTTTCCTATTGAACTATTCAGTTTATGCCCAGATGTTGATGTCTCCTCTGCCACGCACAGAAAAAGCTATCAAATCCAACCATTACACTTCAAGGTGGAGAAATCCAGATCAACGGGGTCCTTCCAGTTGTGACCACCATCTTTAAGTGCCAAGACATTTCAAAAGGCCGAAAACCATCAATGAACCTCCATTGGCATTTCTGTAGCTCAAGAGTGACACCCAGTGACTGATTTAAGTGATTCCCACATGGGCATTCCCTAGATCAGCGTTGCTTCTTCCTGCAACTTGGAGTCTCCAGCATGTCTCACATAATCATGTCACACTAAGAATGGAAAACACATTAAAGCACAATTCCCATTTGGATTTGCATAATCACTTAATTGCAGCCTCCGATTTTCTTTCCTCCTTAGCACGCCGGGCTTCACAGCCACCAAGGTGCTCAGATCTCATATACACCTGGAATATCTTTTAACTCCATGATAGGAAGATTCGCTTCCTTTTCTGGCCTGATATTTCATGGTCAGTGGTTCCGTCTTTCCCTTGAACTGTGGGGATTTTGAAATGCTTTCTAGCACAGACCTTGAAGCCGCAGTGCTGTCTGGTGCAGTTATGTCTCCTCTTCTTCAACAGCTGACAGGGGCAAGACTCACTTAAATGATTTACCAACATATGTCTGAGGAAAGATGGGAAGGGATTGGTTTGGGAGTTTGCACTAGGTAGCGGGATGAAAAAAGGGAAAGGAAATGTATATAAGGACATGGTAGAAAGGAAAGCAACGTTCATGGACTGACAAAAACCAAACTGTGGAGAGGTGGTTTTTTCCTAATAAATTGACAGAAGCATTCATTACTGCATCAGGTAGACTATGTGAGAGGCGGCACCAGCAAATTCCCCAGTCCCTACTGTGTAGCGTTGCCATATTCTGAAGAGCAAAAAAGAGGACAAATTTGTAGGTGGACCGAGGGGGAAGGAATTAAAGCAGTACAGTGGTACCTCTGGTTAAGAGCTTAATTCGTTCTGGAGGTCTGTTCTTAACCTGAAACCGTTCTTAACCTGAGGTACCACTTTAGCTAATGGGGCCTCCCACTGCTGCTGTGCCGCCGCCGTGCGATTTCTGTTCTCACCCTGAGGTAAAGTTCTTAACCCGAGGTACTATTTCTGGCTTAGTGGAGTCTGTAATCCCAAGTGTTTGTAACCCGAGGTACCACTGTATTAATCGTGTATGTGCTGGTGTATTGAAATAGTTAATCATGGTAATTAAAAATGAAAATTTCATACCCTCTAACATTTTGTGAGAATTATTCGGGGGGGGGGGCACCATTCTGCATCTCCATAGTTCCCTCCCTCCCACCCATTAACCCCTTCCTTGTCTGCTTGCTCGCCCCCTCCTTCCCTCCCCTCTCTAAACTTTGCTGTCTTTGGCCTCCTGCTCACCAGATGCTGTGTCTCCAGACGGAAGGGGCACGAAGCCTAACATGGCCTCTGAAAGACCACGCCAGGCCTGGCAGTCACCAGAGACAGCACAAGGCCTAGAGCCCCCGGAAGGCTGTCCCAGGCCTGGTGGCCACCGAAACCAACACAAGACCTAGAGCAGCCGCTGGAAGGCCATGCAAGGCCTCACCACCACAAGTCCTAGAGGGGCCCTCATAATAATGGTACAAAAAATAAAATCCTGGACACTTTGCAAAATATTAAAAATCCGCCTGGATGGTTATTTTACTTTTGGGGAAAAGGATACGTCTGGGAAAATCTGGATGTATGGCAACCCTACCACTGTCATTCTCACCCTCCTGAACCATGATGCATACAGCAGCAATGTATGATTACAGACTCAGGTTCATTGGGAAGGACCATAGCTCAGTGGTGGAGCATCTGCTTTGCATGCAGAAGGTCCCACTTCAGGTAGGATTGGGAGAGGCCCTTGTCTGAAACCCCACAGAGCTACTACCAGTCAACATAGAACATACTGTGCTAGATGGACTAATGGTCTGACATGGTATACTGCAACTTCCTATGTTTAGTCCCCTTTTCCAGTGTATCATAGACAGCAACAGTAGGCAGAGACAGAAAGTAGGTAGAAAGGAAGACATCCCAGGCCACTTATTCCAGTAGGTGACTTGTGTTTATATGCATGATTCAGCTCACTGGACACACACTGCCATTGCTGGAACTTGCAGCATTTCTTTGAATGGGAAGTGAATAGGAACCAGGCAGATCAGTGAGCAAGCATTGCCAAGGTGTTGAAGGAAATGGCTGTGTGTACCATGTAGCCAGCCCAGTGTCCCCTCAGCAAGTCCCCTTGTATAGTGGACAAAGCTGTCTAGATGCATGCCAGTGTTGAAGGGAGATTCAACTGTCGGTTCAGTTGAGGAAATGAATGAATGAATCTTTATTGGCATCAGCCATTGGCTATAGCAATAAAACAACTATACAATATACAAAGAACAGAAATAAAAAGTCAATTATATAAAATACATTTTAGGGTTTTGAATCAAGTCAAATAGTGGATCTTATTCTGATTGCCCCAGCTAAAAACCTTGCAACTTTTGCTGTCTCCAGCTCATCTTGATCTGCCAAGAGAAAGGACACTGTGGCAGTGGTTGGGCGACCTGGAATGGACAATAAAATAGGAGTGATAATCTCATTCCTCAAGTCTTTATAAAGAGTGCAACCCAGAAGGGCATGCACCACCGATTTGGTACTACCATCTCTGCAGGGACATAAGTGTTTTTTGTGTGGAATCTGTTGGAATTGTCCCTCAAGTACAGCCGAGGGCAATACATTTAATTTTGCGAGAGTAAAAGCGCGTCTATATTTTAGAATTGCTAGGTTACGCAGATAGGGTGCCAGAGAGTCGAAATGGGAAGGTGGAAAATTGTCATACCACGGGCAAAATTTCCTTATTGTGGCCAAGTTGTTCTGATGCTCGATATCATTTAGGCACACAACTGAGGGCTCGTCCATGTTGTGGAGGTGTGTGTGTGTGTGTGTGTGTGTGTGGCGGGGTGATTAACAAAATCACTTCTGGCAAGCTGGGAATATCCCCTCACTCAAGCAGTTTAAGACATTCCACACCTTTCCTCAGCAGAGTTTCTTTTTCTTTGAGAAAAATAAGTGGCTCACGTAAATGTAAACTAAGCTTTAATAATATAGAAAACTGTAATAACAAAATAACATAATGAGAGAAACTAAATACAGTGGTACCTCTGGATGTGAACGGGATCCATTCTGGAGCCCTGTTCGCATCCTGAAGCAAACGCAACCCGAGTCCACGCGTCTGCGGATCGTGATTCGCCGCTTCCGCGCATGCATGTGACCTCATTTTGAGCGTCTGTGCTTGCGCGAGCGGCGAAACCTGAAAGTAATGCGCTCTGTTACTTCCAGGTCGCCGCGGAGCGCAACCCGAAAATATTAATCCTGAAGCTACTTTAATCCGAGGTATGACTGTACATGAGGCAAGTCTGAGGCAAGAGACAAGAAGAGGCAGTTGGTCCATCTTAACTGACACTCTTAACTGAACAGACACTGAAGGGAGGGGCTGATTCTGGAGCAGAACACACAAGCCCCGCCCACCAGACACCAAACACTCTACTATTCAAATTAGGCCCCAGTGTTTTTCTTACAGTCCACACTTCTGCTTGTCCCACCTCTTCCCCCAAGGGAAACCACTGAATCAGAGCCAATTGGGCAATTCTACAGAATGACATTTGCTCTGATTTTGGTGGTAAGGAGTGGGTTTTCCCAGGGAAAGCAATGGGGCAAACAGAAAATCACTTAGACCCATGCCTAGACGCACAGAACAAGTGGAAAACCTCTCAGACCTACGCTTTCACGGCACAAATGGAAGTGTGAACAAGCCAAAAAGAGATAGGTTTGAGGAGTAAAGCTGGAAATCAGGAAGAAAGGATACTCAAGATGGAGGAATACAAGAGTGGTCAGGAAGACCTTGCTCAATCAAGCCTCAGCAAGGAAAGGAAGCCTACCTGTCTAGAAGTATTCAGTGGTGGGCTTGGGAGGGTGGAGATAGTTCAGAAGGGCCTTCACAGAGAAGGCTACCATCTGCAGTTCAGTTATTCACCACACTGGGTAGACATACTAAATTACCTGAGCGGTTCCTGCCCAGATTGTAACTTGCAAGTGGTTTCCATGATCCAGGGCCTGTTGCCAAAGAAGCCCACTTCACTAATGCACACACTCTCTCTCTTTCTTTGTGTTTTTTTGTGTGTGGTCTCCCTCCCTCCCTCTCTCTCTCTCTCTGTGTGTGTGTGTGAGAGAGAGAGAGAGAGAGAGAGAGAGACAGAGAGAGAGAGAGAGAGAGAGAGAGAGAGAGAGAGAGAGAGATCAAACCCGGAGCCTTGCTGAGAGATCAAACCCAGAGCCAGCCTTGGCCAGAATAAATTTCTTCTGTTTGTTTATTTTATAGCCTCCAACTTTTCCCAGAGGAAAATGGGGATACTTTTCTATACAGAAAACCACCCTTATTTTCACACCACATTGGGATAGATAACAAGGTTTTAGACTCAGAATTTATAAACCAATATGAAATCAGGGATACCTGAGCAGTGCACAGAATTAAAATATAAAACAGGAATACAGATCCTTATGAAAACAAGAATTAAAAATATAAAACAGATATAAAACAAACTGATTTATGGAGGCTTGTTAGAAAAAGACAAGCTTTCAACTAATGTCAATAACCTAGCAATATTGGGGCTTGCTACAGTTCTTTGAGAAGTCCGTTCACCTTCCTTGGTGGGCATTGTTGTGGCCAAGCCCTGGGCCACGCTGGTTTGCCCAGCGCTCTGCCCTGTTTTTTCACGATCTCCCTCTCACCCTCCCTTAACTTGAATGCTTCTCTGGTGTTATGACCTTGCTATGGACCAAGCTGGCTGTCGTGTTCGGGGCCAGGCAGGAATTTTTCCATTTGGCAAATTGGCACCGGCTATCTGGCTTTCGCCTACCTCATAGCAATTGGCAGACCTTTGTAAGGCAGTTAGGCATGGAGTGAGTCTAGATATTGGCTGGAGGGGAGGTTGTAGCCTCCGCCTGCCCCTCCTTGGGAAAAGGGTATCCTGTTTGTTTGTTTTAAAATAATTTTTATTAAAAAAAATTCTTGATTTACAAAAGTACCTGCATTGTTTCTTTTTTTCTGGTTGTAAAGTCTTTTCCACAAATCAGTTACATCCGGGAGGAGTGGCTTCTGCCTGACCTCCAGGCAGGGGTGGGGGCCATACCACTCCTCCAACGGGGGCCTTGTAGGGGGCACCCCTATTTGATGTAGGTCATAGGGCATCCCCCCAATATGTGGTTTACCTTTAGATGCACTTCCAGCAGACTGGCTGGAGTGGACTAGCAATGGCTTTACCCAATGCCCACACCAAACCATTCTCTTCTGTAACCAATAAAGTTGTGGCCTTATTCAAGCCCAAATTTAAAATGTTATTGTCTATGTGCGGCTATTCATTTCCCTAAGGAACTGTGGGGTCTTAGGGCCTTGGCACGCAATCCCAGAGAACTGGTGTCACAATGCTAAAAGCAGGTGCTCGAGGAACAGCATGCTTTATTGCAGGTGTGTGTCATGTGTGCGTGTGTGCAGACCCCCATATACAACAGTTTTTTATGGTTGCAAAGGATCAGTTTCTACATTAAGTGGAATCCAGTTGCATTTTCTGTGGCTGTTGCATTTCGGGCTGCGGATGATGATGATGCATTGGGATGTGGTCTCCCATATTAATGCAAATACATGAAGGAAACCTCAACCTACCTTCCTCCATGGTATTGCTATCTTATCCATCTCTCTCTCTCTCTCTCTCTCTCTTTCTGTAAAAAGTGCTGTGGAAACATAAAGACCAACATGTTTGTTTCTTTTTATAGCATAAGCTTTTGCATACTAGTCTATCCTTCTGCATCTGATGAATTTGAATCTAGACCTTTGGGATCCCTTCTAACTTTCTAAATCTGTGATTCTATTATTGTATGTGGGCAAACAGCTTTTATGCTGGAACTTCGGGATGCCATATTTTGAAGAGCAAAAAAGAGGACACCCACTCACCCACAAACACCCCCTTTGTTTGTTTGTTATTTCCTGCCAGTATTTGTTTATTTGTTTGTTTGTTTATTTGTTACTTCTTGCCAGTGGCCATTATGCTTTGTGACACCACCCCCCAAGGCCTCAGGCTATGTGCACCGTGACCCAAGCAAAGTGGACAGAGACGCCTCAAACTCTTCTTCTTGACCCACACACCAGACATGCTCCTGCCACCACCCTCCTCCCGGATCTTGACCAGGCAGCTGGTGAAATAGGAGAGCTGGCAGGGAAGGAGGGAGGCTGGGTAGCAGAGGCATATGGCAAGTCCAATGGCCAAGCTTAGGAAACGCACCAAGCAAAGGAGCATGTGTGCCTTCTCTCTGCCTCTTCCCCGCCTCTTGAGAGGTGTTGGTGGCACCTCATGCTTCTCCTTCACTGCTTCTCTCTCTCTCTCTCTCTCTCTCTCTCTCTCCTCATAAGCCTGGTTCCTGCCTCAGTGCTGCCCACCAATGGCAGGGGAGGGAGGGAGAAGGGCCGCCTTTCTCTCCACTCCCTCGTGGATCTGGCGGGGTTTAGGAGTGGGAGAAGCAGCAGCCCACTCACCAGGTCCTGCAGCGATGGAGGCCCTGTTTAGCCAGAAATGAAGGGGCACCAAGGTCCCTCTATAATCTGGCCTCCATTTCTCCCCAGAGCAGCCAGGTTGTTGCAGCTCAGTTCAGCTGTGCTCTTCCCTGACCCTTCCATCTCAGCTTTGCCTCAAGGACTGCAAGCTGCTTTGCAGATTTTGAAGCGACCCTCCAGGAGGGATGTCACAGGCATGGACACCTGTCCAGTGGCACCCTCCTTGGCCAGCCTCAGCTGTGCCCCCCCCAACTGCTCTTGGCCCCACTGGGGCTCCTGGGTGCACGTTGGAAGCGGTAGGCTCTGCCCTGCACCCTCCCCATGGCCCCTCATAGGGCTCCCACAGGGCTCCGCTGCCCCGAGTGAGAGATGTGCTCCTGGAGGGTTCTGCCCACCTTGGTCTTGAATCTGGTGCATGGCACTCAGTCACTACAATGGAGGGCATTGGCAGCCACCGCCAGTGGAGAAGCCAAGACTCTGTCTGCTCGCTCATGGATGGTCCTGCCTCACCTCGCCACCTTAGCCATGCCTACCTTAGCCAAGCCCTTGAAGCTCCACCAGAGGCGCCTCACTTGTTGCACCTACCAGGCCCCAGGGCCTCCCAGTGCAGGTGGAGGTGGCCTGGCTGGCCAAGTCCTCTGCAACCGACCCTGTTGGAAAAGGCTGGGAATGCCATGCAAAAACTCCTGGACATTTTGTGTGGCATTTTAGGCCTGAAAATGAGGACGTGTCCAGGAAAATCTGAAGTATGGCAACCCTACATAGGTCCCCAATAAAGCAAGAATCACTAATATTTTCTCAGGTCTACCAGTTGGGGTGTCATTCTGCAAAACACATCTAAATAACAAACAATCGACCAAAATACAAACCCAAAACAAGGGTAAAGGTAAAGGGAGGACCCCTGACCATTAGGTCCAGTTGTGGCCAGCTCTGGGGTTGCGGCGTTCATCTCGCTTTATTGGCCGAGGGAGCTGGCGTACAGCTTCCGGGTCATGTGGCCAGCATGACTAAGCCGCTTCTGGCGAACCAGAGCAGCGCACAGAAATGCCGTTTACCTTCCCGCTGGAGCCGTACCTATTTATCTACTTGCACTTTGATGTGCTTTCAAATTGCTAGGTTGGCAGGAGCAGGGACCGAGCAACAGGAGCTCACCCCATCAAGGGGATTCAAACCGCCGACCTTCTGATCGGCAAGTCCTAGGCTCTGTGGTTTAACCCACAGCGCCACCCGCGTCCAAAACAAGGGTAGTTCTTCCAATTGTCAGCCTTTCATTATATTAAAAATTTTTTTTACTGTATATATAAATAAAACAGGATGAAACAGAAAGGTCAGAAGTAAAGAAAGATAGATTTAACCCATAGGCCATGTACATATACTGAATTAATTTCTGTTCATTTAGTAGTAAAGCAGGCAGGGACAGAGGCAGACAGATGGCTTTACATGCACATTTGTGTTTGTCTTATCTCTCAGTCAAATAGTTTTAAATCCTTTTTGCTCTCCAGCCTTCATGACGTCCTTGTGGTTACTTGGCAGCTATATCTCATCAGGAACTCATGACTGTCACCAAGGCCAGCAAAGCCTGGGAGCCTTCAAACACAGGCTCCAAGGTAAATACAGTCCCTCAGAACAACCCCTTGGAAATAGAATACACTTGTTCACAAAACTTGCTTCACTGGTCATTGGATACAAAATGGGTTTCCTCTGGAACTTTCTGGAGGATTCAGTTTTCTGTTATAAATGGCTTAACCTGTCATAAGTCATCTGAGGTCTGTCTTACCACCAAAGCTTATGCTATTTTTTGAAAGAATTTTTAAGGTGCTATAAGACTCTCTCTCTCTCCTCTCCTTCCCCCGCTCTGTCTCACTGTAACCTACTTAACAAGACTTTCCCTCTGAAGAGGTGGGAGAGAAATTTGGTTCAATTTGCTTTTTAATGCAGACTAAATTCATATTTCCCAAAGCAATATGTGAACTGAAACACAGCCATACTTAGAAATTTGCATGATGCAGTTCTAACCAAACAATGTGCATATGAATACTTATACTAGAGGAAAGTGTCACAGAAACACACATATCAGTGAAAGTAACATACAAAAACTACATTATATGAGGGGGGGGGTGCTCTGAAATAAGAACAAATTTTCATGAAGACTTTTAAAAAATGCTGGTGCAGAAATGTGACAAATTGTAAAAAGTGAAGAACTTAAAGAATCCAAATGTCCGATTTATCCATCCCAATCCCTCTGGGCTTTGCTCAACCCATGGCACAGGTGCCAGTTTCCAGCACCTGAATACCGCTCCCCCTACTCAACCCCTGGAAGACATTAAGCTCTCTTTCCTCTGGCTCTCAGATCCTCAATAGAAGGATTCTCAGATTTGGTCTTGGGGAGGAAAGTGGCACAGCTCTTTCCAAAGTGATAAATGTCATATTTCTCTGCTGATGCAGAATAAAATGTTGCTCCAACTGCAGTGCCAGGCCTGCAGGTCTAACTGAATCATTACTAACCTGCACCACCCTTCTTTTTTAATGAAGGGGGGGGTGGAGAGGCAGACAGGGAGAGAGAGGGAGAGCGGGGAGCGGAGAGAGCCAGTCTGGAATCCTAAGTGTCTCGTTGGCCAATTTCTCCCTCTCAGATGGGCCATTTTCTTTCTTGTGTAGCTGTCTTACCCTTGCTCACCTCACAACATTTCTCTCTCAGCTCAGCTTTCATAGATTGGATAATGGCAGCTGAAAGGAGGCTCTCCCACTATCCTAACCTGAAAAAAAGAAAGATGAAGGGAAAGAACTCCTAGTCAATTATTTGGTATTTTCATTCAGAAGAAGACTAAATGTAGGTTGGCTCTATTGCATGTATACATCCATGGGGAAGGAGGGTCCATTAAAAAAAAAAGGAGACTGAAACCTTCTGGGAACGAGAAGACAAAGGGAGAGTCTCATATATTCAATTTCCTGAGGAAAATGTCAAAGTTGTTACCCAAAGTGAGATCATGACTGATGCACCATTTACTCCAGGGTCATGAAAGCACTCTTCAAATATCTGGAGGGTTTTTATATAGAGGAGGGCAATGCAGAACTGGCCCAGCCTTAGGCAAGGTGAGGCCACTGCCTCAGGCTGTGGAAACCCTCCAGACAGAATGCCCTCAGGTGCCCCAGCCACCTCCATTATTGGCAGAGAAGGGCTGTGACTAGAGGCACTGATTTGGGGCAAGATTATGTCCATTTTGGGTGAGATATCACCCAGAGTTCAGTGTGATCTTGCAATGGAACATGAGAGGTGGGCGGGGGCTGAGTTTTGGTGTTGCACAGGGTGCCACTAAAAATGTAAAGCCCAAAGTCCTCCACTCATCAGGTGTGCATAAAAGGAAGATTTTGACATTACCATTGGGAACACTGGGAGGGGGAATAACCATAACCACAAATTTCCTATTTGTTAGTTCAATCCTGGCAAGGCTTTAGATATGCCTCCCTCTCCCGTACAGTCCAATCATTTAAAGTGCAAAGTGAACTTAGGTCCCAGATATTTGAAAAACCTCCACCTTGCCTACAGATCCTCTCATGAGTTAAAAAGTCTAGGGTGGCGGCGGCCTGGGACAGTGCATTCTGCTGTGGAATTCCTTCTCCCACAGGTACATGTGGCATCCTCATTATGTGGTTTCTATCATATACTAAATAAACACCTGTGATGAATACTTTTTAAGGACACACCCTAGTCTTGTGACTAATTTGTTTTAAAGCTTTTTGTCAGTATTGTATGTTAAAGTTGTTACAACATGCCCTTGGACCTTATGGTAAAGGGCTGAGAATAAATTGTTGTTGTTGTTGTTGTAGTAGTTGTTGTAGTAGTTGTTGTTGCTGTAAGTGCTCTGTTAATGCATCAAATCTCAAAACCCGAAGAATAGCTTCATTCCAAATTGCCTATGGGGGACATGGATCAGGTGAGTTCATATCATATCAGAATGTGCAATTTTTGGACACCTCAGATCCCCCTATCTTTGGCACAAGGCAGAGGCTGGGCACTAGTGCTTTTGAAAATGTGTGTGTGTGTCTTTTGGGATAATAACAGAGGAATATTATAAGTATTTGATGAGTTCTGGTGCTGTATTTTGGCTGTTTGCTGCAACAGCATTTCAGACAGCAGTTCCCCTGCATCCTTCCTTTCTTGCAATCATGTATTGTTCAATTATCCAGGTTTGGTCTTGAGACCATTAAGCCCTATAAGGTTTTTTCTGCCTCTTTTGTTCTTCAGGTATTTGGCTGGCCTCACACATTATGGGGGAGATGTGGGAGGGACCTTTCTGAACCAAAACAACTGCAACAAGCTCTTATTTTGCTAAGTTCAAACAACCGAAGACAGGCTTTGTTAGTTCTATCTCTTTCCTTTGTCTTCTTCATAAGATCTCAGACCAATCATGTAATGTACTGAAACTCAAATGGAGGTGGGGGGGGGTGGAATATGCTACAACATCTCTCTCACACACCCAGCTCCTGTCTTCTCCCCCTAAAGTATGCTTTTAGTGCTCTTGAATTATGTTAAAATATACCAAACACACATTGTTGGGTTCTTTGATGAAAACTTTAAATTGGTGTTCCAGGGCACAATTCGATGTCTGCCTCATTCTGTGATAAAAGGACTTTAAAATGCTGTTTTAGAATAGAATAGGATTGAAAGAGGTTTTCTTGCTGTTTTTTAATAGTGTCTTTCATGCTCAAGGTATCCCTAAGGGCTGTGGAAAAGCAATGATTTAGACTCAGGAAATACTTAAAGTATAGACAAATGGAACACCAACATGCTCTTAGAAATAGCTCATGCAAGGTATCATGAGACTTATTTATTATTAGCCACTACCATGGATGATTGTCTTGCGCAAGCCATTTATGGTTGTTGCGGGGGGGGGGGGATGAATGGGGTGCCTGCATTAAGTTGGAAGGTGAAAGGGTTGAATCAGGAAGTGAGTAAATGTGACTTCTACCACCCAAGGACACTAGAAGTTAAGTCCAAAGTCCACTCCTCAAATCATAGAGTTGGAAGAGTCCAGTAGGCTCCTGCATCCAAGGGTGTGGAACTCACTATGTGTCCATTGAGATTCTCCTGAGATTATACCCCTTGATCCTATTTTACCCTTCCCCTCTTCCTTTTGTGTTTCTGCCTGGCTGGACTGTATTTAATAAGGCCTCTTGCTTGTCTGGAGGAAGGATAGAGATAAGTGTGAGAGGGTTGTAGAAACTAGTTTACTGTACAAAGGTAGCATGTGCATCCATAGCCCTGTACACTTTTATGTCTGGCCCCACTCACCATTGGCATGTGGCCCTCAGAAAGCTGCCCAAGAGGAAATGCAGCTTTTGGGCTGAAAGAAAGCTCCTAACCTTTGTCATAGATTCTCTTTTTAACTAGTGAGGATGTGGGGGCTGTCCAACTGCATTCATTGGGAATTGAGCTAGTTGAGGTGATGGAACGTACAGGGGGAGTAAGGAAGGGGGGGCGGCATGATCCTGACATCTGTCTGATCTTCTATCCCAGCTAGCAAGAGTTTGTGTTTGTGTTTTTTGTTTCTGTCTGCATCAGTTTGTCCTGTTAGATATCTGCCTACAGGTAAGAGAGTGGTTGTCTGAATGCAATGAGTGATGTTGTTTAATTGTTGCCTGAGTGCACAGTGCACACATCTGGGATTTGGGTGTGGTCCAGAGCCTAGGTTACTATAACAGCAGACTCTGATGCAGAGGCACCACCTCCTGGGGATTGAGCCCTTTTGGGCCCCCTGAGTATTTTGGGGGAGGGGGCCACCCCCCCCAATGTTCAAATGAGGTGGAGGAGGCCAAGTGTGGAGCCAAGCATGGTACAGCTTCAGTGGCCTGCTCCTTCTCCTCCTGCTCCTGCCATGGAGGGGAAGGAGCAGGGAAACAATCTCTGGCTGGTGTTGGCAGCAGCAGCAGGAGGAACTGCCAGCCATTGAAGCCACACTTCCGCTGCATTCTGCTCTGCCCCCGGCTGCTCTTGATGTCACATGTGCAATGTAAGAACATTTTATGATGTCACACATGTGACATTGCCCCCCCCCCCGACCATTCTCCCTCGGAAATTGGCATCTCTGCTCTGATACATGGTTGACACCAAAGTGGTCAACACCAAAGGGGTTTGTCTCTTTGGATCAGTATTATGGTACCCTCCAGCAGCAGCATGGAATGGAAATTGGCAGCACAGTGTTACAGTGCTTCTGATCCTACCTATGGAATAAAACTTAGAGAGTAGGACTGAGACAGTGCTTTTTGACCCCACGACAATTACACTATGAGGTGCCACAGGGCACTATTCTATCCCAAATGCTATTTAATATCTAAATTAAGTCACTGAGAGTGATCATTATGGTTTTGGGTTCAGCGGTCATCCATTCAGCTCTGTTTATCCATAACAACTGAATCAAGAAAGGCCCTGGAGTAGTACCTAGTTATAGTGGTAGGTTGGATGAGGGAAAATAAGCAGAGCAAAATGTATCCATTGTGGATTGGTGGTTATTGTGCATGAGGCCAACTTCCTTCCCTGGACGAAGTTGCACTATACCTGAAGGATCAGACTCATAATCTGGAAGTGCTTCTGTGTCTTTTACCAGGTGCAGCTGGTGTAACACTTATGTGCATTCCTGGGCTGAGAGAGCTTGACCACCATAGTTCATGTATTGGTAACTTCAAAACTGGATGGCTGCAAAGTAAGCAAACAAAAATAATGCTGGGGAGAGCTTTATAGCTGCTGCATTAATTCCTGGAGCATGGATCGGGGACTCAGGGAAATGAAGGCCCATTCTGCAAATGGATGGTCTCTACACATCTTCTTTCCTTTCTCTCCTTACTACATGCCTGTGCATCTCTCCGCCTGCTCTCCTCACTGCCATATTGCCCCCCCCTTTCAACAGCCCCACACAGGAGCACCAGCTCCTGGGGACCAAACCCTTTTGGGCCTCCCCAATATTTGCTCCTTCAATGTTCAAAATAAGTTGCATCGGTTCAGAAGAGCCAGGAATGCAGTGGCACTACAGCTTCAATGGCCACAGCTCCTCCTCTCCCGCCACTGGCCATTGAAGCTGTGCTGCCAGTGTGTTCCTGGCTCCTCTGATCTGATGTAACGTTTGAAGTTCATGTGAGACATCACATGCACATCACCACCATCTTCCTTACATGTTGGCACCTCTGGCCCCAGATCACTCTGGTTAGACCCAGTGGCAGGGCGTAGGGTACCATTACACAGGACATGCCCCTGATGGGGCAGGGCACAGAGGAAGCCTGCTGTGGCTCACTTCACAAAGCAGCTTGGGGGGCACACTCACAGCCGCAGCCCGGCTGAGGAGAGGAGAGGGGCAGCAACACTGCTGTGGAATCTCCTTCTTCCCTCCACCCCCCAGGTCAGACCTGACCCAGAAGCAGAGCTGCGGATGGGTGTGATGAAGCTGTTAAGGCAGTTCCCTCGTATGCACAGTCCAGCAGAGGAGGGGAAAGCAACATTGCCACCAACTCTCCTGCACTCAGCTCCTGCACTCAGGTCAGGCTTGACCCAGGAGTGGAGCTGCTGTGGCCAGGTGCAAAAAAGCCGCCCCAACAGCTTCCTCGCACACCAGAGCCAGGCTCCAATGAGGAAGCCTGTTGTGGATATGAATCTGATGGAATATGTCCATCTCCATTGTCTCCCCTTGAGTCCCTTTTGTACAAGGGATAGGAATGGGATACTTCTTGTAATGTCTTGTAATGTCATATTAACAGGAAGTGATTGTGGCATGACTTGAGATTTGAGGCGGCATGATACAATGCAGCTAATGGATGAAGGTGTCCACTGTGTTTGACTCTGCATCTTCCCTGTTTACACTTTCAGTTTTAGACCACAACACTGACAAAATAGCAAGTACAGTGGTACCTCGGGTTAAGAACTTAATTTGTTCTGGAGGTCTGTTCTTAACTTGAAACTGTTCTTAACCTGAGGTACCACTTAAGCTAATGGGGCCTCCTGCTGCTGCCGCTGTTC